AGGGAAGGCTTCTTCAGGAGGGGCCTCACCACCGCCTCCTTTAAGGTCGCGGGGAAGACACCCTCCCGTAAAGAAGCGTTTATAATTCCCTGGAGCCAGGCTCGTGTACCCTCCCGAGCCGCCAGTACCAGCCAGGAGGGGCACGGATCCAATAAACATGTGGTCGCATTCAGCCTCCCCAGGATCCTGTCCACATCCTTGGGAGCCACAGAGTCAAACTCCTCCCATGTAATCATCTCAAGACCTGCTCTCTCCACCTCCCCCTGGGGCACCCATATTTAAAATTTTACATGGCATGAACTAAATTATTTGTGGGACCACCGCTCCCTGACAGATTCTGCCCATCCTATCAGATTGGCTAAGGGTAAGCGTACTCCAGATCTTTTCCCTAAAATAATGATGATGATGATGATGATGATGATGATGATGATGATGATGATGATGATGATGATGATGATAAAGTTGGAAGGGACCTTGGAGGTCATCTAGTCCAACCCCCTGCTCAGGCAGGAAACCCTATACCATTTTGGACAAATGGCTGTCCAGTTTCTTCTTTAAAACTTCCAGTGTTGGAGCATTCACCGCTTCTGGAGGCAGGTTGTTCCACTGGTTAATTGTTCTAACTGTCAGGAAGTTTCTCCTTAGTTCTAGGTTGCTTCTCTCCTTGATCAGTTTCCATCCGTTGCTTCTTGTCCTGCTCTCAGGCGCTTTGGAGAATAGTTTGACTCCCTCTTCTTTGTGGCAGCCCCTGAGATATTGGAACACTGCTATCATGTCCCCCTCGTCCTTTTCTTCGTTAAACTAGACATACCCAATTCCAGCAACCGCTCCTTATATGTTTTAGCCTCCAGTCCCCTAATCATCTTTGTTGCTCTTCTCTGTACTCTTTCTAGAGTCTCAACATCTTGTTGCCTTCTAGTGGGTCCTTGGAATATGCTTTTCCATGGCTCCCCTGCCTTGTGGAACATCCTTACCCCAAGGTATCTGGCAGGGCCCTTTACACTTTTAGCTTTCTGGAATTTAGCTTTCTAGAGACCATCAAGACCTATACCTAACTATCTGTGACTTATTGGTGGGGTATCCCAGAGATGACTGAAATGCCGGGTTTTAGGTTTTGTATTATAATTTTATGGTTTTGTATTATGTATTATTTGTGAACACCCCAGAATTGTCCTGTAAGACAGGCAGCCATATAAGCCTTTTGAACAAAATAAATGAGTGAATAATAAATTGCAGTTATAACTAGCTTGACTTGATGAATATTTCCATGAAAATAAATGAGCAGCCTTTCTGTTTGCTAGTGTTACTGTAGTAGTGTGCCATTGACATCCTAATATACACATACTTATCTTTAAACTGGCTGATAGGACAGCAGAGCTTTTCTTGAAACGCTCTTTGGAAATGAGAGAACGGGTTCTTGGAATCAGTCACCCTGATTGTGCCCAATCACTGAACAATTTAGCAGCCCTCAACAATGAAAAGAAGAACTATGACAAGGCAGAGGAATTGTATGAGCGAGCCTTGAACATCAGGAGAAGAGCATTAGCACCTGACCATCCTTCTTTGGCTTACACTGTGAAACATCTAGCTGTGCTCTACAAAAAGCTGGTAAATATTGATGTCTAACATTTTGGATACTTTAGAATTCAGTGCCAGGAATTTCTGATCATTGATCACCATTGGGTTAGACTATGGGCATTAGTGCCCCAAGCGGGGAAGTAAAAAGTTATGTAACTCTGGTTATGTACTTCTGTGCATTAAGTACACTGAAGTGTTCAAATTGAAAATTTATTTCAGAAACATTACTCATCCTTCTCCAGAACTATGAAAGAAGTATATGCACTCTCGTGTGAGTCTATATAGATGTACGTGTGTGTCCGTTTCTTTGTGTGTGCACCTACAAAGCTAAACATGTACACATAAAAATTAGTTGGTTTAGTTGCAAAATTTAGATTATTTTTAATTACAATTTTTTTTTTGTAAATATTTTATTAATTTCAAGTTTTACAATCATAAGTACTTAATAAACAACTCGGTGTCTGGGTTCCTTTATCATTCAGTGGTATATATTAACTTTCACTCAAAATATCCAATACTATACCATCCAGTATTTTCCTGGTCCTCTCTTCTTCCAATAATAATCATTTTTCCACACTATGAAAGTATAATTCTTACTGCTATTAATACCTATACAATTAAATATAAACATCTTCATCACATGCTTCTAATGTTATACATAGTGTCAGTAATATCAGTTTATAATATTTTCTCTAGTCAAAACATATTTCAAATGTATTTGCAATCAGAGTTCCCTTATTCAATCCGTATCCTGTTTTTTCTTTTTTTTCAATTTTAATTTCCCATCAATATTCAAAATAACTTTTATCAATTATTATTTTTCTCCATTGTACCATTATAAATAATCTATAGTCATAGCAAGACCCTTTGTTAGGAGCAAAGTCTGTCATGAAATAAGGTCCAGACAGATTCAGGTCTGTCATGAAATAAGATCCAAGAGAAACAAAAATCGAAAGCGCTTTCCCCCCCATGAATCCCCATATTACTGGGGAATATGATAGAATTTTTATCAGTGATGGTAAAAATTCCATCACTGCCTCTGTATATATATAAGACAACAGAAGCCTCTGCAGAGCCTAAGCATGGCTCCCGGGCAAGTAAGAATAAGGAAGGAAAGCTCTCTGATGCTGTTGCTGCTGCTTTCTCCTCCTTGCAATTGTTCTTGCTGTCCAGAAAGAGCAGCTTGTTCCAGAATGCACTCTGCCATATCATAAAGCAGCACCATAAAGCAGAGGTCCCCAACCTTTTGGGCACCAGGGACCAGTTCCATGGAGAGAGGTTTTTCCATGGACCAGAAGGTGTGTGGTTTTATGTGCTGCCTGCATCCTGCGGATGGGGCTTTGCTTGTTTGTGCGGGCCGGTTGCTGGCATGCTGCGGCCCGGTATTGGTCCACGGCCTGGGGGTTGGGGACCTCTGCCATAAAACAACAGGCCATAAGCCATTTTTTGTTCTTTCTGACTTGGGATTCGTGTTGAACAGTCATAAACATTCAACCCTGAACAGCACTCTTGTTCATTCAGATTCTGTAGTTTTCTCTTTTATATTTGGTCACATTAGCCAATCAGACATACTTCCTCCATTAAGAGATACAGGTGGTGAGAGGCAGGATACTTTGTGTTGGCATCAGACCAACTTTTGAGGTGAATTTGGGGCTATAAAGAAGATAGGTTGGGCTATTTATAACTTTGAAGAAAATGAAGTTGGGCTTCATCTTGTTATCTGAAATACGACACTTGATATATTTTCCTTCTGAAATTTTAATTCCTATCCAGAAAAGAATGGTATTATTTCTGGATGGTACTTGGAGAAACATCTGAAAAACTGCCTGTTTTATTTTGTACACAAGTTACCTGAATCAGTTACTCTGTGCTCGAAGTGTTTGTAATTCAAACTGTTCTGCACGTCCTTAGCAGATTGAAAAAGCCAGTTAGTGTAGTGCAGTGGTTCTTAAACTAACCTAATAGCCTGTTTTCCCAGTCAGGGAAAGACCCTGGACTGCTCTTTTATACAGATATCTTGGCAACAATAGCAGCAATCCCAAAGTAGATGCTCATTCACAAACAAGCAATTATAACCTCCAGAATATGCTCAAATTACCCCCAATTTAAGAAGCACCGGTCTGTTGGTTAAGACACTAGACTAAAAGCAGAGAAATATGAGTTCTACTCCTATGTGGAAGTCAACTAGATGACTTTGGGCCAGCCACACTGTCTCAGTCCTGAGAAAAAAGCAGTTGCAAACCACTTCCAAAAATGTTGCCTAAAACTGAATGGACTTGTCTATGGAGTCATCAATAGTCAAGATTGACTTGTGGAAAGGAAGGAAGAGAAGAACCCAGAATGTAAGCTTTTCAGTTTTGCAAAGTTTTTGTTTTGATATATTTTTAGCTAATTCATGTTTGCTTTGTTTCCTAGGGTAAGCTTGAGAAAGCTGTTCCTCTATATGAGCTTGCTGTAGAAATCAGACAAAAATCCTTTGGTCCAAAACATCCAAGTGTGGCTACCGCTTTAGTAAACCTGGCAGTTCTTTATTGTCAAATGGTAGGTTTCTTTTCCTTAATAAAAAAAGTAAAATGTATGATGATATATATTGTCTTGGGTAGTCTGAAAAACATAGAAAAATAGAAGTGAACATCAGCATAAAACATCAGCATAAAAAAACATCAGCATAAAAATAAAAGTGAAAATACTTCTTTAATTTGAGACAAATTGATAGAGATACAGAAGTAGAGGATGCATCTGCGTGATGCTTATTATTTGAAAGATGACATCTAGGGGTTTTTTTTCCAGTTATATTTTTCTTTGCTGTTTTTTTAAAAAGAAAATCAGAGGAAGGGCACATATACTGGAATGGGTCAATGGCTAGCCAATTTTGAGTTTGAAATTCATGGAAAAACTTAAACTTTCCTCCCCCAAATCTGTCCTCATGGACAGAGGAAGCAAGGGAGGAAGGATCTTATGTTTGCACATGATTTTACTTATTGTAATAACTGCTAAAATTTTGGGAGACGGGATATTCATTTCCTGCAGGCATAAACCTTGTCCTATAGGCCAACAGACTGATTTTCTGGCTTTAAAATGCAATTTTGGTAAACATTTTAAAAATACATGCCTAATTTTGTTTTCTTGCCTCACTTTTAGAAAAAACATCAGGAAGCATTGCCTCTGTATGAACGTGCACTGAAAATTTATGAAGACAGTTTTGGGCATATGCATCCTCGTGTAGGGGAAACATTAAAAAATTTGGCTGTGCTAAGGTATCAAGTAAAATGTGTTTATTCTATTGCAAATAAATAAATTGCTACTATTTATAGCAACCCCTAATGTTTATAGTGATGGTATAATTGAGGCATTTTGAATTCAAGGCAGATGGTATTGAATATCAGAAGCATTTCTGCAGTCCTATTTTGAGGCACTCAGTCTGCTTCTAGCCTATGCAAGATCCAAGTAAGGGTGGAGGTTGTATATGACTGAATGATCCTGTCTTTACATTAAAATGCTCCATATTGTTGAGTCCGGGCTGGAATGGGAAAGATGGTAGATGTTTCTGTGTATACCGATGACTTGGCGTGAGGATTAGGTACTAAATGCAGACGATGTATCTTTAACAGAATAACAAAGTTGGAAGGAACCTTAGGAGTTTTCTAGTTCAGGGCTTTTCAACCTTTTCACACTTGTACCCCTTTTAGGACATGACAATATTTGAGTACCACCAGTGCTTAGCAAGGTGTCAAAAACTTGATGACTAAAAAAAGGAGGGGGATTTTGGGTTTTACTGATTAGATTAATTTGTTGTTATAGAAATGGCTAGTTTATAATATTACGGAAAAGTAAAACATTGAGGTTCAATGTTAATGCTTCCTTCTATTGCAACAGAGGAAATCTGTTCTTTTTCCCTTCTCCCCTTCACCTTTTCCCCCTTTTTCCTCCCCACTATGTCCTACTATGCTTTTGTATTTTTGTATTTTATTCTATAATCTAATAAAATGTTACAAACTGTAGAAAAAAAGGAAAAAAGTACCAGTTTAATTTTTTCGGTGGTAGTTTCTTTGCTGAATCACTTTCCCTTTGCACTGAGAAATGTATGATGATTTTATACATATTTATTAATATGCACCACTATCAGCTGGCTGGTCGGCTCTTCTACCTCTCTTCCCCTCTTTTTCCTGCCTTCTGAGCTCTCCTTCCATAGTGTAGCAAGAATGCACCCCCCAGTCCCTTCACTGTACCCCTAAAGACACAGGAATCAAGGGCAAAGCAAGAAAGGCTCACAAAAGCCTCCCAGAATAAAGAAACACTGACTATGTTTTTTTTTCTTTAACGTGCCTCAGGCATGTCTCAATTTAAACAGTGTAGCAACCAGGCTTTGGCAATTGCGAAAAGTGATAACTTTAAATTAAGCCTGTTTACCTACAAAGAAAACTTGCTAAAAGCCATAGACAGACTCAAGATAAGGGGGTAAAACTAATTACATTTGTTTAAAGGGATTAAACCTATGGAAGCCAACACTTTGGACTCATTGCTAGCCTTTGTGAAACAGACTAAAATATTCCAATAACCAAAGCACACAAACCGAGCCTCTGAATTACAAAACACTGTAAAAACTGTATAAAAATCCATATGGCAATCCAATCCTTATGGCAATCCATTCAAGCTGCCAGTTGACCAGGAACCCACTGGCTTCCCAAATAAACCAGCCTCCTTTCCAACATGCTTGTCTCCCAGCTTTTCATTTCATCAGCGCTGATTGCATTCTCCTGGCTAGAGAAAATGAACCAGGGGACCTTTTCTTCCAGCAACAGCTGCTTCTTCTTCCCTGTCTCTTTTTCCTCCCTGCTTGCTGAGCTTTCCTTCCACAGCTTCTTCTCCGTCCCCTTCTCTTTCCCTATTGTCTTTTTTTCCCTTTCCTGCCAAAACCGCCTCCTTTTATATCCTCTCCTCTCCCCCCCCCCTTTTCTCCAGTTCACCTCCAGCTCTGCATAGCTTCCGGAAGGGCCAATCAGCTGGAGCCCCGCTCCTGGGACTTCTGCCGAGACCTGGAGCTACAGCTGCCTCTCCCTCTGGCTTGGGTCACTTCAGCTCATTCCCGTCCCCTGCTACACTTCTCTAGGACGGCCACATATCATCTGCACATGCCAAAATATCAGTGGTGGTACGCGTACCACCGTTTGAAAAGCCTTGTTCAACCCTCTGCTCAAGCAGGAGAACCTTTATTAAGACTTTATTAAGTCCTACTTTCTTTTCTCCCCAAAGCTATGAAGAGGGTGAGTTTGAGAAGGCTGCCGAGCTCTATAAGAAAGCCATGGAAATTAAAGAAGCAGAGATGTTGGTAATGGGTGGAAAAGCTACTTCCCATCACTCATCAACAGGAGATACCCTCAGCATTAAAAGCACTTTTTCTCCCAACATGTTTTTTCAACATGGACCAAGATAATGGAAGGTAGTATATTAATCATTATAAGGAAATATCTTTGCTGAAAAGAAATAAGGTTCCATTTTAAAAGTGGAAAAAGAGAAGAGAAAAAAAGTTAAAATATTGTGTTGGTTAATTAACACTGATCTTGAGCATATTATATTCATCTAAGGCTCATTGTTTTTAAAGATTTGGTTAATGTTCAAAAATTATCAGTTATGCTATTAATTTTTTTCTACTTCTTTTAGAAACAACTTGAGTTGATCTGGCCCCAATTACATAAGTAGAAATCATGTAATGGCCATTTGGATTTTTGGATTGCCATTTTTTCTTCATTGCAGAAAGTAGTGACAAATGAAACTAGGAATTAACAGAACAATTACAGTCTGCATAGAGACTTTAATCTCAATGAGATTTATTTTTAAAAATTAAATGTATAGTCAAAATTAAGCATTTGACCACTTAGACAGATAAATATAGGTAATCCTTAACTTATGACCATAACTGAATTCAAAATTTCCATTGCTAAGCAAGGCAGTTATTAAGTAAGTTTTGCCCCATTTTATGGCTTTTTTGCTACAATTGTTAAGTGAATCACTGCAGTTGTTAAATGAATTCTGTGATCATTAAGCGAATCTGGCTTCTCCCATTGACACTGCTTGTCAGAAGCCAGATGGGAAGGCTATAAATGATGATCACATTATTCCAGGACAGTGCAACTGTCATAAATACATGCTAGTTGCCAAGTGCCTGAATTTTGATCACATGACCATAGGAGGCGCTGCAACAATTGTGTGAAAACTGGTCCTAAGTCATTTTTTTCATTTGCCCTGGTCATTAAATGGTTGTAAATTGAGGACTACCTGTAGTTCAGATATAGAATAGGAAAACTAGGTCTGAATAGAAATATTTAAAAATAATAAAAAAATGTCTAATTGCTAAACATGTAAACTTTGGAGTAGAAAAAAAACTTATCTTAAAAATGTTCCGCTGTTTTATTTATGCCCAATACTAACTATACCCTACAGTTTAGTATTATATGGATATGCTTACCCACTTACCTTGTAATGCTTTTCTAAGGACTGGGAAATCTCTATTGTTTACATTCTTTAACTGTACTTTTTAGTGTCCAAACATGGGCTTAGTTTACTGAAAAAAAGCTAGTTCAAATATTGGTTTAGGAAGGTGAAGTTTCAATAAACTATAATAAAAACAGTTCAGGGTTGCATTTTTATTGTACTTAATTGAATACTTTTTTATATTCCATGGGATACCAAGTTGTACAGTATGTATGGATGTCTGCTGGGAGGGGATCTTGGGATTAAATGACAACAAATATATGATATATGACAACAAATATATGTCATTATGCAAATATTGCTGAATATTTATTTATTTATTTAATTTATTTATTTAATTTAATTTATATGCCGCCCTTCTCCCAGCGGGACTCAGGGCGGCGCACAACATATTTAAAACCAAAGCATATATACAATCCCCCCCTTAAAACCGAATTAAACCAAATTTTAAAGTTGTGTCTTCCAAATTCCTAAAAAACCCAGTATAAAATCCACCCTAGGTCAGTTCTAATAGAACATTGTACTATTGAAAACTAAACTAAAACAGGTTCCTTATGAAATGTGTCATAACTGATAATATTTATTTAGCTAAATATTATCTATTTTCCTACCACTGATTGCCTTTAATAGTATGTCTGTTTGAATCCTTTTTATATTTCAGAAGCTAGGAAATAAAGATATTTAAAGTTGTTCTGAGTATTCAGTCTTATATAAATAAATTCATGACAATTTAAAAAATTATATTTATTGTTTTGGTTTTCTTTTAATAATTAAAAAAAACTTTAATTTCTCATATTAAATATCCAAATCTCTCAGTTAAATGGAAAATTATCATGATAAGAACTGTATAGGTAGCTCTGATACCAAACGAAGATTCAGATCTGACATAGATAAAAAAACTACAGACCGATATCATTATTAAATGTGGACTATAAAATCTTTACTTCAATAATAGCTGAAAGACTGAAAAGATTTCTGACTGAATTTATATATTCAGACCAAAATGGATTTCTACCAAAGAGACAAATAAAACATAATTAAGAGTTATAATGGACATATTGAAATATTATGAAATGCATCGAGGGAAACAACTGGCATTAGTATTTCTAGATGCCCAAAAGGCATTTGACAATGTTTCTTGGTGATTTATGATTCAACAACTAAAAACAATGGATTTTGGAGAAAATTTTATAAATATGACTAAGACAATATATCATAAACAAACAGCAAAAGTGATTGTAAATAGAGACTATACAGAGAATTTTGATATAAGAAAAGGCACAAGACAAGGATGTCCACTATCCCCATTGTTATTTATTTTAACTTTGGAACTTTTAAATAGAAATATTAGACAGGATTCAGAAATTAAAAGACTGGAAATAAAAAGTGAAACTTATAAATTGCAAGCATTTGCAGATGACTTGGTACTTATATTAGAGGAACCTTTAGAGATGATTCCTGAATTATTGGAAAAGATAGAACAATTTGGAGAGATAGCAGGACTGAAGATAAATAGAGAAAAAATTAAAGTGATAGTTAAAAATCTCACAGATTAAAAAAAACAATTGTCAGAAAAAATAGAACTACAAATAATTAAAAAGGTTAAATACTTGGGAATATACTTGAAAGCAAGATGTTCAACGATAAACGAAGATAACTATATAAAACTACTAAACCAAATAAAACTTGACTTGGAAAAATGGAAAACTCTGCAACTGTTGATGTTAGGAAGAATTGCTATGGTGAAAATGAATATATTACCAAAATACTGTTTTTATTCCAAACAATATCTATAAAACTAGAGAAAAAATCCTTTGAAGACTTAAATTCTATAATTTTAAAATTTATCTGGCAAGGAAAGAAAGCTAGAATTAAATTGAAAATGTTACAAGAAGCTAGGGGGAACAGAGGTTTTGGTTTGCCAGAGTGGGTTTTATATTATCAAGCATCAGTGCTAACATATGGGTAAAAGAATGGATGACCCTCAGAAATAAAAGATTGTTGTATTTGAAGGGATATGACTTACAACTCGGTTTGGCATGCTTTCTTATGGTATGGGAAAGTAAAATTCATAAACATTTTCAGAACCACTATATTAGAAATGTATTACTATTAATATGGAAAAAAATAAAATGGAAAATATATTTGAAAATTCCAGGATGGCTTTCAACAATGGAAGCATTTGTACATTCAAATCTAGTCAGTCTTGAGAAAATATGGACATATAAAGATATTCTGAATGCTGAAGGGAACTTAAAATCTAAACAAGAGATGGAAAATCAGGGTACCGTATTTATCTATCATGGTGGTCATATTTACAAATGCAAGTGAGATATGATAAAGTGTATGGATTCTATAAAGAGCAGATTTTGTTTGATCAGATATTACTAACCTCTGATGAAAAACTAATTAAGAAAATGTATAACTTTCTATTAAATTTGAAGATGGAAGACAAACAAGTAAAAGAAACAATGATAACATGGGCAAAGAACTTTGGATACAATATAGATTTAGAGAAATGGCAAAGCTTGTAGGAAAGAAATTATAAATTGACAATGCCAACCTTTTATAAAGAAAATCTATACAAAATGATTTATAGATGACACTTGCCACCAGCAAGATTAGCTAAAATGTTTAAAAATATGACAGATAAATGTTGGAAATGTAATTACCAGATACTTATCATGTGTGGTGGACATGTGTTAAAGTAAAGAGATATTGGACAAAAATACATACTTGGCTAGAAAAGATGCTGGGGAAACATGTAGATTTTAAACCTGAACTTTTTTTTATAATGCCAGAAAAGCTTAATAAACAAAGTGTATATTTGATTTTGCATGTGACAACAGCAGCAAGAATTATATTCACAATATTGGAAAAATGAAGAAATACCACCAGAGGAAGAAATAACTAAAAAAATATTAGACTTTGCGGAAATGGATAGACTTACTCTGAGGTTGAAAGAAAAGAAGAAACAGAATATTTTCAAACTTGGGACTTATTTTATCAATGGCTGGAGAAACCATTGGGATTAGGAATTTAATTTGTATTAGTGAATGATAAACTCAGACAACACGTTTGTTGAATAAGCACTGTTGAATTGTATTAAAAATCAATAAAAACTAAAAAAAAGAACTGTACAGGTAGTCTTCAACTTACAAACACGATCGAGCCCAACGTTTATGTTGCTAAGTGAGAAATTTGTTAAGTGAGTTTTGCCCCATTTTATGACTTTTCTTGCCACAGTTGTTAAGTGAATCACTGCAGTTGTTCAATTAGTAACATGGTTGTTAAGTGAATCTGGCTTCCCCATTGACTTTGCTAATCAGAAAGTTGCAAAAGGTGATCACGTGAACCGGGGATATCGTAACCGTTATAAATATGCACCAGTTGCCAAGCATTCAAATGTAAATCATATGACCAAGGGGATGCTGTGGCAGTTGTAAATGTGAAAAATGGCCATAAGTTACTTTTTTCAGTGCTGTTGTAATTTTGAATGGCCAGTAAATGAACTCCTTAGTGGACTACCTGTACTCAGAAAGTATGTATTATATGTGAACAAGTGAAAAAGACAGACAGACAGACAGACAGACAGACAGATAACCTTTATTGTCGTTTTTTTTCCTGTGGGCACATTGGCACATTAAAAATGAAATTTAGTTGCTTCCTCTCAAAGTGTACACATACATAACACATTTAAAACATACTATATACAACATATGTATAGACCTACACCCTTACATATAAGCAACATATAAATATTCACTGTTCATTTGAATACATAATGGAAGGAGGAAGCTTTAGAGTTCACAAGGTTAATACTGTATGGAACAAAACTGAATAAATCTGGATGTTTTGCTTCGGATACCACGAAGCCTCCTCCCAGAAGATAACAAGGAAAACAGGTGGTGAAGAGGATGTATAGTTTCCCAGACAAACTTGCAGACCCTGCTCAAGCAACGCTTATATCCCATGTCCTGGATGGAAGGGAGGGAGCTGCCAATGATCTTTTC